CGCCATTGTTATTTTTAGACATTTGCCAATTTAAACGTGCGGCAAACTAAAACAGTATCCTAAGCAACACCCAGTTATTGATCATGGAAACGATGCTGATAATGAAAATATTTCATTTTTGTTTTATAAATCCGCTTTTGAAGCCGACAAAGCCAAGAGCAACTTGTAAGGAACATTACGAAGCTTTTTGGAAAATCTGCAGAAAAACCTAACAACATCTGCTATACTGAAAACACTCAATAGAGAGGTAAATTTGGATAGATCACAAGAAAAAAAGCAAAAACTAAACGATAATTTAGAGTTCTTCAGAACTCTTTCTCACTGTTTAATGGAGTTCTCGGTTAAAGCTGTATTTTTTTTACAAACAAGCAAAAATTAAAGTATCACCTTTCTATCAAAACTTCGGAGAGTACCTACTAGTCAGCAAGTTTTGACTAGGAAAATTAAGTTGCAGTTGACAACTTACTTTGCAGAAATGGAGTTTTTCAACGTTTTATTTTTTGGAATAATCGATGAAGGAATTGACTACATTATCAATGCCCTACGAACGATGCAAATTACAATTGATACGCACCCGCCTCTGTGCAGCAAAAAATGTGCGCCCAACAATGCAAGGAAAGCTTAACGTCGAAAAGCTGCAATCACAACAGACGGCCAATTTATTCGCCACTCGACTCACACACCTGCTCTCTGAGAGCACTCTTCAACAATCCGACGTACGCGAGCAGTGGAACCACATTTCCCGATCATTAAGTACCGCCGCCGAAGAAGTAGTTGGATTTCAGCGAGCCCGAAAGAACAACTGGTACGATGAGGAATGTCAAGAAGCCGCAGAGAAAAAAGATGCCGCCTACAGGGCCACGCTGCGATCGGGCGCAACGCGAGCCATGTGGGACCGTTATAGGGAACTGAAGAAGGAAGCGAGACGTATTTGCCGCAATAAGAAGAGAGAGGCCGAAATACGTGAGTGCGAAGAGCTTGAGATGCTGGCCGACAGGAAGAACGCCCGAAAATTCTACCAGAGGGTTAGGCGACTTACGGAAGGTTTCACGACCGGGGCGAACTCCTGTAAGAACAACAATGGCGACCTAGTGACCGATGTCCAGAATATACTTAAATTGTGGAGGGAACACTTTTATAACCTACTGAATGGTAGCAGCGCTGAAAGTAGTGAGGAAGATGAACCCGAGTCCCCAGTCGATGATGATGGAGTAGCTGTCCCACCGCCTGACTATGACGAGGTACGAATAGCGATTACGCGGTTGAAAAACAACAAAGCTGCTGGAGCTGACGGCCTGCCAGCCGAGCTATTCAAGTACGGCGGCGAGGAGCTGATGAGGTGCATGCATCAGCTCGTATGCAGAATATGGTCAGATGAACGCATGCCCGACGACTGGAATTTAAGTGTGCTCTGCCCAATCCACAAGAAAGGCGACCCCGCCATACGCGCCAACTACCGCGGAATTAGCCTTCTAAGCATAGGTTACAAGGTCTTATCGAGCGTATTGTGCGAAAGACTGAAGCCCACCGTCAACGAGCTGATTGGACCTTATCAGTGTGGCTTTAGGCCTGGAAAATCCACCATAGATCAGGTATTCACAATACGCCAAATCTTGGAAAAGACCCGCGAGAATAGGATCGACACACACCATCTATTTGTCGATTTCAAAGCCGCTTTCGACAGCACGAAGAGAAGTTGCCTTTATGCCACGATGTCTGAATTTGGTATCCCCGCGAAACTAATACGGCTGTGTAAAATGACGTTGAGCAATACCACCAGCTCCGTCAGAATAGGGAAGGACCTCTCCGAGCCGTTTGATACCAAACGAGGTTTCAGACAAGGGGACCTCCTTTCGTCCTTTAATCTTATGTTGGAGAAGATAATAAGAGCCGCAGAACTGAACCGCTCAGGCACAATACTTTATAAGGGCGTACAATTGCTGGCGTATGCCGACGACATCGATATTATCGGTAAAAACAAGGGCTACGTCTGTTCTGCGTTCTCGGGATCGGATAGAGAAGCAAAGCGAATGGGTCTGGTGGTGAACGAGGACAAAACGAAGTATCTCCTGTCAGCACACAAACAGTCAGAGCATACGCGTCTTGGCACCCACGTCACTGTTGACAGTTACAAGTTTGAAAAAGTAGACGACTTCGTTTATTTGGGAACCAGCATTAACACCAATAATAATGTCAGGCTTGAAATCCAACGGAGAATCACTCTTGCCAACAAGTGCTACTTTGGGCTGAGTAGGCAATTGAGAAGTAAAGTCCTCTCTCGTCGTACAAAGATCACACTCTATAAGTCACTCATCATGCCTGTGCTGGTGTATGGCGCGGAAGCATGGACAATGAAAGCATCTGATGAGGCGGCTCTTGGAGTTTTCGAGAGAAAGATTCTGCGAAAGATTTACGGACCTTTACGCGTTGGTGATGGCGAATATCGCAGACGATTTAACGATGAGCTGTATGAGCTTTACAACGATATAGACATAGTGCAGCGAATTAAAATTCAGCGGCTCCGCTGGCTTGGCCATGTCGTTCGGATGGACAGAAACGCTCCTGCTCTGAAAATATTCAACGCGGGCCGCGATGCTGGGAACAGAGGAAGAGGAAGGCCTCCTCTGCGTTGGAAAGACCAGGTGGAGAAGGACTTGGCTTCAATTGGCGTCAGTTAGCACAGAAGAGAAATGACTGGCGTGCTGTTTTGGACTCGGCCAAAATCGCTTAGGCGGTTACAGGGCCAAATAAGAAGAAGAAGAAGTTATACAGATATTCAACGAGACATTTTATATAACTGGAATTTAGAAATTGATGATTGGTGTTATAATCTATATTTTGGGTTTTTACAGAAGTGGTCCACTCTCATTTATAAACGTGCTATTGATTTAAAGCTTCAAATGGTATATAATGTGTATGCAATGACGGAAACAGTTATGACATGTCATGCACCAGGTAGAATTTAAAACGCAACGACTGTTTAATTGTTTGATTTAAAATGGATACGATATTAAGTGCAATTTTTTATGCCACCCCGAAGATGATTTCGAAGAATTATTTGCGAGCTTGAAAGACCTGCAAATATACTACGACATGAAAATAAATAGAGGGCGAGTAAGAACGAAGAGATTACAACGTAATATGGATTCATCTTCACGTCGAATTCATATTTTCAAACTTAATTTTACATCCCACGGCTTTACGGAGAATATAATGCTTAACAGTTATAATATGTGTTTCAAAATAAACAAAAGCTAAAAATAGAT